CTTCTAATGTGTTTTTCATTCTGGTTTTTTATTCATCAGCTCTGAGTAGCTCTTTTAAAATATATTTTAGCTCCTGGTTAAGATTCTTACTGTGTTCTTCTTTTCTTTTCCCAAGTTCAACTAACATTCTTATTACTAATGCTTTGAACTCTATCTGGTAAATTATCTCTCTTTTATTAGTTGTTCTTTCAGGGTTTTTTCTTGTTCTTTCATTTAAAACAATTTCTTCTGTCTTCTTATTTTGTTTAATTTTCTTTCTCTCTTTGTAAACAGCTACCTATTCTTGTCTTGAAGGAATGTCTTTGTGTGGGAGTGTTCCTATGCAGTGTGCTTGTGTCCAGTGACTGTGCTGGGAGAGCTGGATCTGAACTGTGTATGAGTTGAGTCTTCCCCCTGAGTTTTCTGGCAACTGTCACCTTGGGGTTGGTGGGGTTGGAGGAGTGGCTAGATCCAGGCCAAGTGTGACTAGGAGTGTCTCCTCTGCTCAGTGGCTGTCACTGTCTTATCAGGGGTGGGGTCAGGTGCCAAGGTGTTGGAGAAGAATCCCTGAGGATTATATCTGATTTGGTTCTGCTCCCTCTAAGTATGCCATCCTCCTGGAAACAGCACATCTGCCAGAGGTGAGCAGCACTAGAGCAACAGTGCCCAGAGCTGGTATCCAGTATAGGTTGAGGTGCACAATGGGATGGTCCTGGCACACCAGTCAGAGCTCCAGATAGTTCCCAATTTCCTGCCTCCACCTGCAAAAGCTATGGCTACCCCTGTTCAGATGCAGAGTCATGTCTGAGCCAGCTCTGTTCCCCCTGGTGTGCACTCTCCCCGGTAATCCCAGCGTCACCCTAGTGGGCGCTGCACCAGAGCTAGAGGGGCCGGAGAGGAGCCAGGACATATGCTGGGGCAGTCGTGGGACACAGGCCAAGCCCCAGGTATTTTCAATCTGCTTCCTCAGTCTTGTTTCTAGGAGTATGCACGCATGTGTGTGTCCATTCCTCATGAGTGGTGCTTAGTTTTTTTTACAGCCCTTCTGAAAGTCCCACTGGTTTTCAAACCAATTAAGGGAATTTATCTTCCAGGTGTTAGACCTCAGGGTTGGGGTGCCAAATATGTGGTTTGATCCTGTCACTCCCCAGGGAGAATCTTTGAGCCATTGATATCCTTCATTTTCTGGGTCCCCTTCTTGGGGCACTGGTCTCTAATTTATTACTTTTTGCTTCCTACCTGACTTTGTGTGGATCTTTCCCTTCCTACCTGACTTTGTGTGATGAAGGAATTTGAACATGATATAAAGAAATGGAAATATATCCCCTACTCTTGAATTAAAAGAATTGATATTGTTAAAATGGCCATACTACACAAAGCAATCTGCAGATTTAATGCAATCCCAATCAAAACATACATGATATTGTTCACAGAACTAGAAAAAATGATCCTAAAATTTATATGGAATCACAAAATAGCCAGAATTGCCAAAGCAATCCTGAAGAAAAAGAACGAATCTGAAGGCATAACCCTCACAGACTTCAGACAATACTACAAAAGTACAGGAATCAAAACAGCATCATATTGGCACAAAATAGAAATAGATCAATGGGACAGAATAGAGAGCCCAGAAATAAACCCACAAACTTTTGGTCAATTAATCTTTGACAAAGGAGGCAAGAATATACAATGGAGAAAAGACAGTCTCTTTTTTATTGTTTGTTTGTTTGTTTTTTAAGACAGTCTCTTTGACAAGTGGTGTTGGGAAAGTTGGACAGCCATATGTAAATCAGTGAAGTTAGAACACTCCCTCACACCATACACAAAAATAAACTCAAAATGGTGCAGACACCTACGTATAACACATGACACTATAAAATGCTAGAAGAGAACATAGGCAAAACTTTCTTGGACAAAAATTGTAGCAGTATTTTCTTAGGTAAGCCTCCCAAGGTGAAATAAATAAAAGCAAAAGTAAACAAATGGTATCCAATTAAACCTAAAAGCTTGTTTGCAGCAAGGGAAACCATCAAATTAACAAAAGGACAACCTAAAAAATGGGAGAAAATAGTTGTAAATGATGCAATTGACCAGGGGTTAATATCCAAAATATAC